AAATATCAATCTTAAGGTATCAAAAATTCCAAGCACGTTTCCTCTCAAGAACAAACTTTCACGGACAAATCAAGTCAGCCAGAGCTAAAAGAACGAATGCAACTTATAACTTGGATGGAACAAAAGAAGCGTTCGATCTACTTTAAAAGTTCCCAGTGAAAATCTTTACGTGGAATGCCTGTTAATTTTACTTCATAACGAGTTCGTCGATCCACATACCGTTTAGAGGAAAGATTTAACGTTATCGAGACTGGACGAAATAAAAACACATACATTTATCAATCACGGTGAGAAGAGGGAGGGACACGCGTGGTGGCATCGATTCGAACCGTGGTTTGTAACGAAGTGAAGCGAGACTGATTTCGTTATACCGATTGCACTGTCACCAGGCCTCTGCTAACCGTAATCATGATTGACAAGACGATATATTACATACGCGATATAGTGCATGCCACTTTCAGTGTAACGAGCTGTATGTATGTTCTATGGCGATGTAACGTATGACAGAACAATTATATTTCGAATATAATTTCAAACATGTTTTTCATTGGAAGAATTGTAAAAGAAGTACAAGTATTCTCGTGTAGATTTAAACGAGAATACTTTTTTATAATAAAAAATGAAATTTGGAATTTTAAAAAGTTTATAAGTTCATTTGATATGCTCATTCAGAATTAAATTGTGCTTGGAAATATTCATCTTTTATGATTAAATTCAATTTTGGCGATAAAATACTCTATGATAAATAAAAATTTCGATAATATATCTAGTTTCTGAATACATTGCTAACATTCAGTTTTCCTACTCTTTTTTCACACTCTATAAGAAAATGAATCTATTAATACAATTATATGATACAATCTACAATGATCTAAAATTTATATAATGATAAATATATAAAACACGTTTGAAATATGTTAAACAATATCCTAATTAGAAGATTATCTTAATGACTAATTTGTTTAAAGCTATGGATATTGTTTTCTTCTTAATAAAGAATTATCGAACACATGGATTTTTAATAAATGCTTTAATATTTTTTATCGAAAATCTCTTGATATCCCAAGCTATTGTTTATTCCAAATTCATGTATTAATTAAAATATTCTTAATTCTTCATTATCATACCATTATATTTGATATCAAAAGTATCTAGCCTTCTACTAATTTAATTCTAATATATATTTCACTATGTATTTCATCAATAGGAATTGTTCAGACTATCATTGTGCAAATTAGAAAAATATATATCAAAATGTTGCTTTCCTTATTAACATACTATTTTTCTAATATATTAAATACCAAACATGGTCAATTATATTCTTGCAATTTTAAAATCTTTCCATTTTACTCTTATATATATATATGGAAGATTATGATTTATTTCTCATATAATATAGAAGGAAATAAATATAGATGTATATATACATATTTATATAATATGTTAATGTACATATAAATATTATGTATATATACATAAAGCAATGGCAAAAATGAAGAAAGGGTTGAAAATGGAAGAAATAGCTCTGAAAGCAAGTCTCGATAAGCTCGGCGTACCACCTTTAATTAAGGTTCACTTTGGATTTCCACTTTACAAGGTGATAACCGAGCTACTACGATAGAACTGAAAACGAGGTCGTACAATTTCTGTCTCTTTCAGTATCGAAAGTTTTCTAACATAGGAGAGGATTAGTTTTGAATAACTTGAAAAAGCTTAGTTTTCCACAAAACGAACCAACCAAGAGTACGTTTTTATTATCATATTCTTTTTTCTACTCCATGAATTTCCTATGAGGATATATTTCACTTTTGAATAGTGCATATGACTTTGCATTGATACATTCTAAAGAAAATTAATTTTTCTCTTCAACTTAAAGTTTTCTGATTCTTCGGAAAATATTCTTTTTGTTTAAAATTTTATTTTAAATTTTACTTCTAAATTATTTAATTATTCTTTTGGATATATTTAATGATTAAATACTTTAATCATAAATATAGGATTAATTTAATACGAATTATAAAAAATGAACTGTATATTTTCAGTGCGAAATTTTTGTAGAAGATAGATTACGTAAGATTATACAAGAGAGAATTTTACATAATAATGAAACATTACCTCGTTAAAGCAACTTTCTTAAATTTTATATATATTTCATTTATTATATCTATTTTCAACTTGATCCATGTAATCTATCTTCTCATAAATCAGTAGAAATTAGTCTCGTATATCGCAATAGTAGTAAAATATTATATCAATTAATTCTCTTAACTCTTTGCTACTCATACTTGCTATAATGCTACTTATTTATTCCAGTATATAATTTGTATTAAAATACTGTCGTAAATCATATACTCTTAGAAATTAGATGAAATTTTTCTATTATTTCTATTATTTTTTTGAGTCTTCTGATGTACTACAACGTGAAATCAACTCTCAAAAATATAATTAGCTTTATAACGAAAAAACATTCTATTATATACGCAAAATAACAGCAACGTAATTTATGATTTAAAATATTAAACGTATCAATTAATTTTATCAAACTTATAATCGTTTCATAAACATATGTATATAACATACGGTTATCTGAAACTTCACGAAACGTGATTCACTATGCGTGAATTATTTTGCAATAAGTGGATGATCAGTTAATGATAATTTATTGGTGACCCGATAATATGAGGATTGCTAATAATATTTAATAATGATTACAATTAATCGAGCATTTACAATTATACGACATTACGGAAAGAGCTTTTTGTGCATTAATATTGCTAAAGAAGAATACGATGCGGAGGATTTATTTTATTTATCTACTATTTTTAAAAAACTTCTATTAACATTATACACGTAACATTAATATATTTATTATTATTAAACGGAATTCAAGAATCTACTCAAGATTTATTATTTTAATGATAATTTCAAAGTAATGATATAATTTCAATTATATAAATTAATTGTAAATAATATAATGTCATGCAAATCAGAGACATTAAATTACTTAAAATTAATCATAATAATTTATGGTCCAATTTACAGATAAATTTTACATTTAAGATAATATTTTATACTAGAATAATTAGTTTTTTTTTTAATTATTTCAATATAGATTTGTTTTGTAAAATATAGGTATAAAAAATCAAAGATAATACAAACTACTCAGTATACTTTGTAATATACTATAGTATATTACAAACTTATAAAATCTAATTAATAAAATTTCGTTTAATTGATTGTACAAATTTTTCAAGCTATTCTTCTACTACACAGAAGATTTTTTCTGGATTACAGGATTACGTTTATCGAAATTAATAGACATTTAAATATATATGCACCGAAAAAATAAAATTCTATATAAAATACGCAGAATTCAATTGAATTATTACGGATAAAAATCGAATTGAAACCAAACATTCAAAAACTAATTTCATAATACAATAATTTTTTTTCGCGTTATTAAAAAATTGTACGAAACCATTTTGTACGAAATACTAAAATTTGTAAGGAATGAAATATTGAAATATGAATATTAAAATCAACTGTTTAACACCACCCAGATTTAATTTCATCGGACATAAACACGCAATCTACAGATTCATTACAAACATTTGAGAATATTCAAGCGTGCAAAATATCTGTATACAGAAACGCCGATACAGAATGCAAATTATTATGAGCTGGTTGCACAACGGAATATTCGTGTTTCCGCGATCGATCGCTTTGATTAAATCAGATTGTAACCTGCACTTTCCAGTGGTTAACCAAACGGTTCGGTTAAAAGTTACAGTTAAATGCCTTCGATAAAACACTTTCTACAAATTAATATTGCCAGGTGACATGATCGAATGCACAAATAGTACGAATTACAAATCTATACGTTCAATGTTGGCACCTGATTGTGGTACGAACTAATTGATATAGAAGAAAGCGAGTTTAAAGAGCGATATGTCATATCCAACATAATTCAATACTAAATTTCAGTTCCATGCCATTAGTCATTTTCAATATTCTCTTGAAAAATTAAGTTTTCATCAAACGTACTTTTTACAAACGTACATTAATCAAACTTTCTTGAACAATTTATTTCTGAACTTTATTAACTCGAATGTTCGAAAAAATTAAGAACAGAAAAGTATTCATAATTTTTACGACTGAAAAAAATTTTATTCATTGTGAATAATAAATTTGATAATATCGATTACTAAGCTACCTAGATAAATTGATGGAAGAGAATAAAATGTAGAATATCAAATCATAAAAATTAAAAATCCAGAGAAAATCAAATTGTATGGAAAGAGTATTAAATAACGTTTGTGCCTTATTCTTATTCGTGTCATGTATTTTCGTCTCTCTTATATATATACCTAAATTGATTAAAATTTCCTTAAACTATCGATAGATATTTTTGAATTTTATTAACAGTAGAACTAACCAAACTATGACATATATTTAAATGTACGCTCAAATATATAATTACATATATTTGTAATTATACATTACGTTTAAATGTTTATCTCAATATAATTTTAATCAGAAAATCTGTACGCTTTTAATAATTAAAACTAAAAAACTCTATCAATTTGACAGATTTTCTATCTTTAACATTAATATTTATCTTCATTAATATTCATTTTTATTTATTTGTTAACACATCCTTGCTTATTTTCCATTGCAAACGAAACAAATCCTTAATTTAAAATTAAAACAATGCATCTACAATTTCCTGAACCATACAAGACTAATTTCCAAACTTCGTTAACATTTACCTCTCTTTTATCTACATTCACTCCCCAAAACAAATCTTCATTTCGAAACCTACAAAATTTTCCAAACATCCCAAGCTATAAGAGACTATTTCCTAACTTTATTAATACTTATCCTCCCCTCTACTTGCTCCTAATCGAAACAATCCTCATGATAGGAAATTGCGGTCCCCTGGACCAATGAATCGAACGATAACCGGAAGATGGAGGAAAATCAGCAAGCATGGGACTTACCTTGAGGTAGGACGGTGAGCAAAAGGACTATTTGAAGACCGGCGCTGACCATACAAAGCTTTATTCGCATCTGTGGCAGACCTCTCGTCTGGTTCGCCATGGCGAATGAATTTTGCAGACTCGGCCAGCTCGACATCTCTCCTCTATTCGCAAGGGTCGGCCACCCGGAATTCACCGAATGCTCCACTCCTTTCGTGTTCCACCACCCCCTTGTACGTCTCTTCTCCACTCGTGCGCGCACTACACACTATATAATATATACATATACATATATATATATCTATATCTATATATATCTATATATATATATATCGCGTGTCACTTCTCTACGAGCTGCGATCACCGTCTCGAACGTCGCCCGGGAACTCTTCGTTGCGAACTGTTACACTGATTCTGATCATCGTGTCGAGAAACCGGTCGAGTCGCGCGAGTTTGTCTAATCGTCACAACGATGCACCCGGATAAATACCGCCCGACTTTGCCGTCATAACCAATCGTTACCTTCCACTTTTCACGTATACACGAACCGCCAACCTTCTGATGGTTGTCGTTACTGCCGTTGCTCTGCCTCTTCCTATCGTCACCGCAGTTCTAGGTCCGCGTCGAACCTCGCCACGCGTCGAGCATGCTCGCGTTATACACCTGAAAATAATTGATTGACAATAGAGAGGAGGGGATAATCGGTTTTGTGTCATGCTACTTGCGAATTTTCTCACATGCTGATGGCTTTTCATTTTTGATGAGACTACTGGGACGGGGTGGAACTGGAGAATTTCTCGCTGGATTTGATCGTAAGGTGTATGGAAATTTAAATTTTTGCGCTGAGAGGAGAGATACAATTTTTGGTTTTGGTAGATGTATCTGAAAATGACTGGTTCATAAGAGAACAGAGTAAACAAAGAGGAACTATTTGTTCCTTTTTGTTTCATCTTCGTTCTAAATAAATGTTCTTATAAAGATGGATTTCTCTTGATGAAACTATAGATTAGGAACGACAATTTTTTAATTAAATTTTTATGCTGAGGAAGTATGATTTTAAAATGGTAGAGATCTGGAAATTATCGATTTGTGAAAGAGAATAAATGATTCTGAATTCTGTTGTGCTATTCGCTCTTATTTTTCATTGTTACGCGATATTCTGACATGATGTTGATTCTTTTATGATGAAATTAATTTTAATTTTTGGAGCAAGGCTAGAAATTTTTTTGTTAGATTTGATTGAAAATATTGGAAATTTTTATTATAATTTAAGAAATAGGAATGGTCTAAAATGATCTAAAATGATCTAAAATGGTCTATATGAAGAAATCATATAGGAATGATTATACGTTAAATTCTGTATTCTCTTTTAACTTTTAATAAAATTGTCAGTTTTTCTTCTTTCTTAAATTACGTGGCAAATGTCGTCTTTCATAAATATTTAATTTTACTTTGTTCATAAGTGAAAAAGCACGTAAATATCTTAATTTTTACGAAAAATCAGATTTTTCCACCCCAAATGTATCAATGCAAATGTTTAAATGCAAAGTCTATCTCAAAATCACAATTATTATCTCCTATTACGATTCTATATTACATTGTTGGGATGACACTTTGTCTAATATGATTGTCCAAAGTATTTGAACAAATATATTGCTATTGTAATTTATCGTCTACAAACATTACAATATCAACTATTATTTAAATTTCTCTCTCGCGGGAGAAGCTATATATTTTGATTGAAACGTATTAAGTCAATTCCTATCGCGTTAACGAAACAGCATACGCCGCGATTGAAGTGAGAATAAAGATATTATATTTGAATGTCTCGTGTATAGAAAGTATTTAAATGCGATATTTAAATTTAACAATTAATTCTTTTGATAAAGATTATAATAGCAAGAAATAAAAACGTATTAATAAATTTAAAAAGATGTCTTTAAAAAACGAAACACAATAACGAAACGTTTGAATATTAAAAGAAATCAAATCAAACGTTTTTTATCCTATCGAAAATATAATTAAATTATTTGCCATCTATTTACCACATAAATAAATCATTCGCGTTATCAGAATTGCTTTCTTTAATCGAACTTCAATAAAATCAATCTTTTCAATTCTTGTTGATCGAAACAAAAGATTAATCAAAATATCGAATTATTTAACTATTGACTAATCCTGAAATAAACTTTTTAACTAAAATTCAATATAATATTCTTCACAGAAATTTCTATTCTTCGCCTTACTAATATACATATGGAAACTTAAATTTTTCAACCTCCATTTAAAGCTTGTTTCCCTTTAATTCCGGCAAAAATTTATGTGTTTCCGTGTCCAAGAAATAGATTTTACGGAACTGTATACACGCGCCTACGTAGTTTTGTACGATACCTAATATGCAAATCACCACTTCGAAGATCGGAACGAACGGGAAATAGAATTTCTCCTCAAAACGAGACATTAAAGCCGATTGTATTCACTATTTTTTTCATGAAAACGTACGACGACTATAATTTACAAGCATCCAGAAATCGAAAGATTCTCTTGAATCATAGCCAACTTCTTGATTAGCTGTTTGGCTATAAGTGGATAGAAATTTCGCGTATCCTGATTCGTATAACTATCATACGAATATATATACATGTTTCGAAGAAAAAGAGTGTTGCTCCGTTTCAACTATAATCACAAGATTTTATACATTATTTTTTTGAATGCAAAATTCAAGAAATTATATTTATCTGTTAACTCCAATTGAAATTTAAAATTAATGTATCTGCTTTTTAAATTTTATATTTAACTAATTTAATTACTCTGCGGAATTCAAGGAATTTAACTATATGCTTGAAATTTCGAAATGTTTTTCTTTTTTCTTATATATCTAAGTGACAAGCTGTGAACAATGACAATGGCCAAAGGGTAGAATACCTTTTAAATGCCCGATCTTAAAAGTTCAAAGGGATAATTTATTATATTTAAAAAAATTTTCGTGACGTAAATTATCTGGCCTAAGCATTCAAACTAAGACCTACTACCTTATTTCAAATAACGTATCTCAATTGAATCATTTAAAATTATTTTACATGTCTCCCGAATTTCTTATTTAATACCACGTTTAAACGATTTTATGATGATAAATTATCCGGCCCAGATATTCGAGCAGTGCTCAACTTTAATCTCTTCCGATGATACTCAAACGTGTTACATTTTTCCTCAATTTTACGATACGAAGGAAAGAGCTCTTGAAACTGTATTCGTTTACGAAGAAAACACGGATCGGAAAAGTCATGGAACACGGAAAACACATTTCTCAGCCACCGCGAGATACGTTCTCACGAGGACGAAAAAGAGAAAAGAAAAAAAGAAAGAAAAAAGAAAAAAAGAAAAGAAAAAAATAGGAATTCCTGGAAGTCTGGAAAGTTGCGATACCTATTTCTAACTTGCCAATACGTACGAACGTACCTACAATTGTGATCGGCTTCTTGCCACTTGATATCATTTATCAATTACACGGCAACGGTATTAGCTCCTCGCGTAGTATCAGGCACGCATCGAACGAACGCGTTGTTCGAGGAAAGAGGGCCGTTGCATCCGTGTACGCGTATGTAAAAAGAATTCCATAAGTGTTTTCGAGCCGTGCTCGATTCACAGGTGTTCGTGACAAGCGGCGTATATACTCGATACGAATTCTTCTTCCCTTTCCTTTCTCCCCCGTTATTCGACCACGAATTCGATATTTCACTATCACACACTTCCCCCTCAAGGAAGTACGATTATAAGAACGAGATATATATATATATATACTATACGAGACACACTACTTGTTTCTTGACACACTCTTACTACTCCCTCTTTCTCTAATCTAAATTTTTTCTCATCGGGAATTCACTGCAGCGAGAATCGAGGAAGAATCGTAGAAAGAGATTGTAAAGAAGTTGTTCAGTTCGAGCCGAAGGTTATCGGTCATTGCCTGCCAATCGAGGAGCTTTCGTAGAGCGTTCGAGCTTTCGTGCTCGATGCCGGATCTCGAATAGGGAGAGCTGGGCGCGTTGTTGGGTGAATGAGCAACGTTTCTGTCGCCACGATTACCATACGCAATCGTATCCGAAGAAGGCAGCTATGCTATCGCGATTCTTGGACGCGGCACGAGCCTGCGTTCGTAGCCTGTTCGGCCTCGTGCATCGTCTTCTTCGTCCCACTACTGTCCACTCCACCCTCCATCCTTTCGCGTATTAGCACCACCTTCCACCTCCTTCGCTTCCTCCTACTTCACCGGAGCGCAACACGGTGCTGCTGCCCGTATCCAGGCAACTTGCCCAAGCGTGCTGCTCCCACTTATATACACCCTCGCCGCTCTTACATCAAATGTTCTCGGCACACTTCGTTCCCTTTTCTCATTCGTTACGCGTCCGCCAGCTTCCACATTCTCGCACAAAATCATGCTGCTCTATCTGTATCTCTCACCGCCTCCCAAAACTGGCATCCTCCATTCGATCTCTTCGAGACCCGACTACACCTCAAATCCACGCTGCTGACACCGCCTCCTCATCGTATTTCGCGTATTTCTACGAATACCGTGCGTATTCGCGGGGCTCGCGCAGATTACCTCTGTCACCACCACTCGTCACTCGACGAACACGACGAGCTCGTCGATACTCGCGATCACTTGATTGCCGGACGCATTCTCACAAGATACGAGGTACGTGGAACGGACATCTCACGCACCGGCGGGGGCAAAGTCAAGCCGGTGTGCGTGCTGGCTCGGTGACCGGACGACGAGTTCAAGCGAACGGAACTACGATCGTTGATAACACTATCACACGCGGCCACGTTACGAGGTCTACAAGCAGACGTAGGCGACTCGCGGTAGACTGAGACAGCGGCCGAGAAAAAGGTGAAGCGGACAGAAGCGAGGCGTGTGCGCGGATAGAGCCAAGGGGGCAACAGCTAGATAGATAGAGTGAGGGAGTGAGATCGAAGAGGAAGGAAGAGAAGGACGGAGAGAGGAGAGGAGGAACGAGAGAGATGGAAAGTGATTGTGTGTGTGTGTGTGAGAGAGAGAGAGAGAGAGAAGCGGAAGGAAAAGGAGAGAGAAAGAGGGTGAGAAGTGGTGTAAGAGTGAGCGAGTGAAAAAGGCGAGCGAGAGAGGAAAGAGAGATAGTAACAGACAAAGATAGAGAAGAGGGGGGGAGAAAACCGCCTCGTTCTGCGATCGGGTATCCAAACGGAACTGAAAGTACCCTGAAATAGGAGGCGGTCGGGGTCGTGTACGAGCTGCCGGTCGAGCTCTCGCGACTCGCAGCTACCGCCGCGATATAGACGCGAGGAAGGCTTTCCGCGACGAGTACAACCTTCCCTCCTCCACCATCCTATGCATTCTCCATCCCTTCCTTCATGGCACCCCTACTGCTCGCGTTCAGTCCCACCACGATTTCGCGGGAAGCTGCGGACTGGACCACCACGCAACTAGCGTCCTCCCCACCACCGGTTCGGTTACCAGCCGGGTGCTCTGGTGAGACAGAGAAGCAGGATCAGGAGAGTGGGTGGTCTGGGGTGGAGGGCTCGAGGACACCATCCCCGAAGCCCACCCCACAGATCAATATTCTGCCCACCACCGTGTACCAGGAGAACCCTGTTCCTCTCTTTATCACCAGCCCGGATGCCGGCATCCCTTCGTCTCCCTCGCGAACCCCCATAGCTCACCGCCGTGTTACCGTGTGACTTTCAACGTGTGCGTTCCCATCATCCCTCTTCTCCACACCAGGTGTATGGATCGTGCGTGGGCTCGAAACTACTTTTACATATGTGCATCACGTAATGTGTACGCGCGTTAAATACACGTCTATGCACCCGTTGATTCCGCGGTCGTAACGAAACTCGTAGACAACCACGCTCCAAGCAAGTCCACCAAGAGGAATTAGCCGCGAGATCTCCCGGGGCCGACTCCGGATCACTGTACTCTCTTTCTCTTTCTCTCTCTCCCTCTACGCGAACGACAAAAGTGGAACGTACTAGGGTGACACGGTTGATGAACCGATCGATCGATTTCGCACCTGTGTGCATTGAACGTTACGGGGATGACACAGTGTCGTAAAGTAAATTTATTCGATGATCGGTTATATCGATTAGAAGACCGAGCTTTGCGCGAGGGGTAATTAGACGGTCAGTTTGGTCGAAATATTTTCGTTGTAATCGTTTTGGACGATGCCACAAGGAAAGGATGCTGTCTATATGCATATACGCCGGGCGTACTTGTTGCACGCTAGATGCGCCGAAACGAAACGAGATTGAAATCAATGAATGCAACGTTAGATGATGGAGGGATGAGGTTGTGGGTTAAATCGTTAATCGAAAATATATAGGTATGAGAAAAGGTTGAGTAAATTTTATTTATAAGGATGTGTTGTTGTATCGACATTGTAGAAATCTGTCCTTATCGATAGGTGGAGGAAATAGCGGTTTAGGAAGATTTTATTGCAACTCGTAAAGGCGCTTTCATCAAAGCATTTAAATTACGCGATGACATAACGCGTTAAATTTTGATCTATTTACTACTATATATGATCGTATTATTGAAAATAAGGAATAAAACGGCATATAAGTGTGGAAAATAAGAAAAATGATTTCTATATGTTGTATAGAATGATTATATCTCTGGTGTTATTTCATTTTAATGGATATTATCATTATTCGTTTATTTTAAATGCTATATTTTTTCAGGAATTAATTTATCACAATTTATCACGAAAATTAATACAATTTTTACTCTTGAAAAAACAGTTGAGTACTTTTACGTTGCAAAAAGAAACATTAATTTTTATTTTCTTTCTGCAAAAAATTTTTGTTTTCTCATGCTAATTTTATTTAATACTCACACACTCCTATCGAATTAACACTCATTTGTGTGCGTTATTAAAAATGGAAGAACAATTTTTCTTCTTTCTACTATTACCAATTATTTCCTAGAAATAATATATTTTTTGAGTAACCTAGAGATAAAGAATTAAACTAATTTAGACGTAACAAAATATTTAAAGATGTAGAGTATTTAAAAAATGTTAGGAAAAACGAATAAAAATATAAGAAATTTTAAAATTAACGAAGCAACTAAAAAATTTTATCAAATTAATTTCTGTGAATGTGATACTTTGCTACACACGTTTCTACATACTTGTGAAACGTAATTCTGTTCTCGCGTAACAACAATTTTCTTTTTATTTCATATATGTTATGTTTTCTCATATGAAATTGAATTATTTTGCTTACATTTCATTTTGTAATGATAATCAACAAAGATTAATTCTTGATATAATTTTGATCTTCTTTTATATAATTTTATAAAATGGAAAGATTTCGAACTTGAATACGGCGAAATGTAAAAGAGACTTCTTTGAGAAGAAATATTTAATATATATATCTAATATTCTATTTTTCTTATTAAAACTCTTTCTCTATTCTAACCCATTAAATTATTATTAAATATAAAATAGCACTATTCATTAATACAAATTTGCAATACTAACAAATTTATTCACCTTACATACCTTACCTATTATTCATACTTTATTTTAAAATATATATTTTATGCAAAATATTTAAATATCAAAAATATAATTCATTTTATATAATGCTAATTAATTAAAAATAGATATCAAACATTTTCTTTTGTCTTCATCTATTTCTTGCTTCTATTTTCTCATATAATATATGATTTTACGTTTTTCCCTCGAGGAAAAGATAAAGTATCTATCTATATACGTATATGCTGTAATAATAATAATATTTTAGTCGCTAATATTTATAAAAATATCGAATAATAAATAAAAATACCTATTATTATTTTTAAAAAAATGTATTTAACGGTAAAATTATATTTGACTTTTTTTATAATTCAAAAATTACACAAATATATGTGTAAAACTTCATTTAAAGATTATATTAATATACATATATTTAAAATGTTTAAAAAATAAATTAGTATTAAATTATTATAAAATAAGTTAAAATTTTATTTCAAATATTTTATTATTAATATTTTTATAAAAAATACTTTTTTATACTTAAAATATATATATATATATATATATATATATATATATATATA